ATTGCGAGTCGAGCGTCTCAGTCTAATTGAATACTAATATTTGATCGTCAGCCTTATAATGCACCCACAGCTCCGAAAGTGCGAAGTGCCATATTTTGGGGGAGCGAACCATAGATCCACAGATTGGTTCAGAGTTTTTGTACTTCAGAGAATACTAATTTATTATTTTAAGAAATTTATAAATACATATATTCTGTACGTTTTTAGGGTTATATACATTTATTTCTAGTTTGGCAATGCTTTTAAATCAAATATCAATAGTTAAATTCTCAAAACATAAGGAAAGTAGCGCCCCTAGCGGAATATTTAAGAAACCAACAATAAAAAATTGTTTAATTAAATATTTTTTTTTAGTCAGTGATAGATACATTAATGAGTACCGTTAGTAATTAACTAAATCAATCCTCGCTTAAAAGTAAAAAAAAAATAGCATAGGTGGTACACGAGATACGTTACAAGATTATCTTCTTGTCTGACGCTCAATTTGAATATTCCTGCACGCGACAGCACAGTTGTGGTGGTTTATCTGATTACTGTTGCCTGGATTAATTAAAACACCAACTTTCTTTTACTTGCCAGAAACACGCACGTGTTTTAAACTCCCGATAAATCTATCGGGAAATTAGAATTTTAGGGCAAGGAAATATCTGAAGGACAGCGACAAATGAAATCGAATTTTCATGCAAAGCTACAAAGGGCCGCAGCCTATTTTGAAATGATAGAGTAAGGGCAACTAGTCCACAACATCCACCGCCAACTTTTGGACTACTCTTAAACAAATAGGATTTGTTTTTGTTACTCATGTAATGTAACGAGACACGAACAGTGGATCCTCCGATTCACAATCCACACGCTAACCACTAGGCTTACACCCTGCCCATAAAACAAAATATATTATTTTACTTTTTAAATCTCACACCTAGTTTCCTTTACCCCCCCCCCCCCCAAGACGCTTACTAAGGAACTGAAATGTACTTCGTAGCTCATGGTATTAATGTAGGTTGTACTTCATATTTTATTAGAACATAGAAATAAGAATTCCTAATTATTACGTTCTTTCATACAGTTTGATCTTTTTCTTATGTAAAGTTAAAAGAATGTCTCCAACCGATAACTTTGTACTTCACCCTGGGCGGGATTTATCTTAATTATTAGCGCACAGAACTTTAAATCTGATTGCCCATAATTCGCTTCTCGTTGCTGCAAGGATCACATCGTGCACTCTGCGTTAGAAAAGTAACAGTCAAATCCCACTATTCTATTAGAGTAGGCCAAGTGTTGGCGGTGCGTGGTGGTAACTAGCCGTTTTTTTTTTATAATTTAACATTAATTTACGGTCGACTAGCACCAATATCCGCGATATAGCGTTGCGCGAATATCTGAAACTAACCCGAGATTTTTGAGCGTTGCGCATTAATTCAAAGTCGACTAGCACCAATATCCGCGATATAATTTTGCGTGAATATAATGAACTAACCTGAGATTTTTGAGCGTTGCGCATTTGCTCCATCTTCACCAAACGTTGCTGTACGGCCCGAAGCTTATGATCATAGTGAGCGCGAATTTTCCTGGTCTCTTTGAGCCACATCTGTTCCTTCTCTTCATAAACTTTAAAGATTACTTGTTCATTCTGTTCGAGAGTTTCCCGAAGAAGATTGATTTCCGAATCTTTGTCTCGCAACATAGCTTCCAGTTCCTCCACGCCACTGTCACTCGGTGACGGGGAGTGAATAATTTCTTCTAAATTCAGAGTCGAGTCACCGCTGTCTGCATACGACACTGGTGTATCCGTACGTTTCACACAGCTGTCCAAGGAATAGGTCAAGGATCTGGACTCGTCGTCGGTGATCAGGGAAGAGGACTGCGACACTGTACTGCCATAGTGACTTTTAAAATCAATGTCTGTTTCTTGAGGACTTAAACTAGGATCGGTATTCCTCATAATTATAGGTGTTCGTAGACGACAACAGTTTACCAGTGGTCTGAAAGCCACAGGTCGAACGATAGATTTATCCTGAAATAAAAAAAATCGTCAAAACTTTTATAAAACAATTAAAGGCGTTTACTTTGTAATATTTTACACCTCGACTAATTCGATTTTGTTTTTAAATGTCGCGCAAAGCTACACGAGGGCTATCTGCGTTAACCGTCCCTAATTTAGCAGTGTAAGACTATAGGGAAGGCAGCTAGTCATCACCACCAACTCTTGGGCCACTCTTTTACCAACAAATAGTGGGATTCACCGTCACATTATATCGCCCCCACGAGGGCGAGCATGTTTGGTGGGACGGGGATTCGAACCCGCGACCCTCAGATTGCGAGTCGAGCGCCCTAACCATCTGAGCATGCCGGGCCCCGAGTAATTCGATTTCATCTGCGTGTGTTTTTGTTTCACCTTAAAAAGGACCAATACAAAAGCTTTCGATATCGTTTCATTGTGTGTCGGGTGTGACCCATTGGTTAACGTGCCCGGAATGTGAGGCCCAAGATTCATAGTTTGTAACCCATTGTCAAAATAAATATACGTGTTCCGCGCTTTAAGGCTGTGAGTGAACTCTAAACGTGACGATGAGATCCTACTATTCGATTGAGAGTAGCCCAAGAATTAGAATTAGGCACGGCTATACATAAGTAGAAATTTTGTAGCTTTGGGCGAAATCATAAAACAAACAAGTATCTGTGCATCGCTGTTCACAAGTCTGAACTGCTAAAACTACAGGGGGGAAAAAGCAGCTAGTCAATAACACCCACCGCCAACTCTTGTCTGATCAAATATAGTGGGTTTATATAGCGTACCCACATCCCTAAAGTGATGAGCGATGTTTTTGCGGCTACGAGTCGCGAACCACGAATCCTCATATCCACGGACTAGAAACGCTAATTACAAGATCACACCCCGCCTTTCGAAAAATATTTTACACTTTTAAACCATCAACTCCTTTTAACTTATTTTTTCATGCCAAGTCCTCAACCACATATATTCACAGTAAAATAAAAAAATCGTAGTACAAAGCATTTAATTTGTAAATAAAAACGAATGGCAAACTCGAGCAACAGAAAGGTCAGGATCATTAATAGGTGAATTAAGTGGGGTGATCTATACATCTTCTCTTATGAGATCATTAAGTGTGTGAGAGCAGGAGAGAGAAATGTTGTACTTGTGCTAAATTTGAGTCACGTTATTAACATTTCTCTTGTGAAAATGTTCATCTTAAAACAGTTTTGAAGAAAAAAATGACCACAACTCCGAGATTACACGCGCTGATAAGAAAGGTAACAAAGCCAAATTCGTGAAAGTCTTCATACATGTAAGCATTAATGTTTGCTTACGTTATTTTATCGTCTAAAACAATTTACCAAAATCTGCAAATCATCTCAATTTTTAAAATCTTTATTACAATGTTTGTAAGTAGTTAAAGAAGGGTATATAAACACGCAAAAGGAAGTTATTTATCTGATAAAATAGATACTAAAACATTTTACTGTGGTGCCATACAGCCCATCTCTTCCCTCGTGCCCTCGACCCCCCCAAAACCTTAAAAATTCGAACACCCTCTCTATTTTAAATTACCGGTTTTCTTTTTTTCTTTTAGAAAACACTGAGGTTTGGTTTGTTTGAACTTCGCGCAAAACTGCACAAAGGCTATCTGCGTTAGCAGTGATAGACCAGAGCTTGTCACCACCGCCAAATCTTGGGCTTCTCTTTTTTTTACCAACGAATAGTGGGATTGACCGTCACATTATACATATAACAGAATACTATACTACACTATTACAAGATGGAAAGCTAAATATATGAAAAAATAATAATTTATTTTACCAAAAACATTTAAATTGATATCACGGTTGAAGGGGCTGGATTCGAACCCGCGACCCTCTGATTGGGAGTCGAGTAGCCTAACCACCTGGCCATGCCGGATACCCTAATTAAGGACAACAACATATATTACAGTAAGTACACCATATGCACGATTTCTCCACCAAGAAGACATTCCTAACGAGTTGTTTTCTACTTGGATATTTAAAAAGTAAGAGAGAAAAAAAAAAAAATGCTTACCCTTGTGTTTCTATACATCGAGCATTCAAGTAAAATTCTGCCGAAATGTAGTAATTTGACAGCCGAATCTTGCACACATTCCACAACTTGGAAAAATTTACTTAAATTTTACAAAACTTCTGGAATTATCTATTTGGTCACCATCGATTAAAAGATATCACATGGGTGGATTATGCAGCGCGTGCTAAATCTCCACGAGGGCGAGAAAAATCGTCCAATCATATTAGTACGTGTATAACCACAGTTTTAAATAACCACAGCTTACCCAAACGTTTCGCCATAAGCGGGATAAATCTCTCTAGTTTTGCACATTAGCACTGAAATAACAGCAATGGGATATACAGAAACACTCGTTTATTGACTCACCGAAAACACTTTTCCCGTTTGTTCATTTAAAGAAGGGGGGGGAGCAAGAGATCGCACTGTTATGCTAGTCGTGTTTTGTATGGTGTTACTGCGCTCAAAAAAAATAGTTCGACAGGTGCTTAAAGGTGTACTAACCTGTCGTTTTTCCGGTGTGTACCTACCAGGTTTCTTCCAGGAAGCCGCAATATGTTATGAAAACACAAGATTCACTCCGCCAAGGCCAAGGACGAGCTTCTAGCAAGTTAGTGCCCACAGGTGAACACGGTCAACGTCACTTATTGAGAAAAAGGCTCACCCACGAAACTTTGTAAAGTCACGAAAACGTCATCACACGTGCCTTCATATTAGCCAGCATGAGGAAGTAAAGAATAAGAAGTTATTGTACCTAGCGATTGAATGAAGTAAAAGAAAACAAGAAATACACGAATAGTTCCGCGCCCCCTAGCGGAATAGGGCAATCTCCTTTAAATATACGCACGTAATTCTGCAATGCACGTACAAATAAATACTTGTTACGAATAGTGAATTCCCCACCCTCGTGTCACGCACGTGCAGCAGCTTTGACATTGTACGAAACTAAAAAAATATATTGTTTCTTCTAAGTATTCCCAATTACGGGAGAAATGCCTAATCCCAGCAATGTCCACTTGTAATAAGGGGCATTTTTATCCTTCCCCTTGTATTTACCCTTCACGTAAATACATTGTATCTGAACAACTATTTTATTATAACTCTTCAGGTAAATAAACTGTATCTGAACAACTATTTTATTATAACCCTTCACGTAAATAAACTGTATGTGAACAACTATTTTATTATAACCCTTCACGTAAATAAACTGTATCTGGACAACTATTTTATTATAACCCATCACGTAAATACACTGTATCTGGACAACTATTTTATTATAACCCATCACGTAAATACACTGTATCTGAACAACTATTTTATTATAACCCTTCACGTAAATAAACTGTATCTGGACAACTATTTTATTATAACCCTTCACGTAAATACACTGTATCTGAACAACTATTTTATTATAACCCTTTACGTAAATAAACTGTATCTGAACAACTATTTTATTATAACCCTTCACGTAAATAAACTGTATCTGAACAACTCTTTTATTATAACCCTTCACGTAAATAAACTGTATCTGAACAACTATTTTATTATAACTCTTCAGGTAAATAAACTGTATCTGGACAACTATTTTATTATAACCCTTCACGTAAATAAACTGTATCTGAACAACTATTTTATTATAACCCATCACGTAAATACACTGTATCTGAACAACTATTTTATTATAACCCTTCACGTAAATAAACTGTATCTGAACAACTATTTTATTATAACCCTTCACGTAAATACACTGTATCTGAACAACTATTTTATTATAACCCTTCACGTAAAAATATAAAGCAATCGAAATCCCATGGCGTAATATTTTTAAACAAACATTTATTAAATGCCCACCGGACCTCCCAACATCCGCCTTTTTTTTTTACCCAAAAACGTTCACCAACATCCACAAAGCTGGATTATCAGCAAATTTAAACTATTGATCTTAAGCTTTTCAAAACGAGACCCAAAACTCGAGCGCTGAAGAATAGATTAACTGGAATATTATTGAAAAGACCTGGCGTAGATTAAGTGAAATATTGTAAAAAGACCTGGCGTAGATTAACTGAAATATTGTTAAAAGTCTTGTTGTAGATTAACTGGAATATTGTAGAAAAGACCTGGTGTATTCTCCTTTGTTCTCCTGAAGAAAAATAGTCAACTATTGAAAAGCTCTCGAGTTTTAGTTTCGTTTTGAAAACATTACAACGTTTGTAGGTGATCCTGTGTGCTAACTACTTAACCTGTATCTCAAGTTTTGTTAAATAATTCATAGTTTTAAAGCAGTTTGGGAGGACATAGGTTCCTAGCGACGTCACGTGAAAATGGTGAAATATACCCCAAGGTACAATAGAGTTAAAATTTAACGACCATTCCATTCGCGATGAAATGGGGGTTAACAGTAAGTTAAGCTACTTATGCCTTGCAAGATCTATTCATGAAAGCTTAAATATTATTTTTATCAAGAATACAAAGTGATTTTGAACCATACACTTAAAAGATGGTCTTATGTTTTTAAAAGGTGAACGTAGTTAGCTATATATAATGAAGGAGAATTAAACCTTTGACCTTCTCGACACTGATCTCTTACACAGTTACTCTCGTCCCTAGCATTTTTTTTTCTAAAGCTTCATGCCAATAAAACGAGCCAAACTTTTCGTAGAAATGAAACGGAATTCTTTTGTTAACAACTGCTCGGAATACAAAGACCAGGAACTTTGAGACTGGGAATTAATCCTTTCCGATGTATTTAAAATCCTGAGCTTTTTATCCTCTCCTTTCTCACTCTCTCTCTCTCTCTCTCTCTGTAGTTTTATGAAGAGCTTCAAAAACTGACATGCCCATTGCTATTATTATAGACTACAGGAATGACTCAGCTGTTTTGGGATTAAGACACATGTAGGTATGTATATCTTCATTTATTTAGCTAAGCTCCCTTCTTATCATCTGTAGGATGACCAAGT